CATGGGCCTAATAGGTCACCTGAGTATTGTGTAACAACTTTCAAACAATTAAATTTGGTTCATGTTTTAAACCAGAGGCCATGAAATTCACAATTCACAATTTTGAAAGAGGCACCATTACTTATCATAATTATAAACTTAATATGCTTACTCTATTTACCGTACTTAATACCGAGAGGTAGATCAGAGTAATAAAGAGAAAATTCACTTCCACTTTATAACCAGTCGTGCACCTCACCCTAAAGGAACAACTGACCATGGGGCCACATTTTCAAAATTTTGCAAATTTTATCATAAAATGGTTGATTAATACCAAAGAGCAGATTTCAAAGCATTAATTTATTTTCAGACTCTGTAACCCCCCACGACCAAATAAAAACAACCATTTTGCTAGACACACCTTTCTTCATAATAAATATATATACTTGGATCATTAGCATAATACCCAGAAGCAAAGGAAAAGATTTTGAAAGAATTAAATTAATGCATTTTCATTATATAATCAATAGAGCTCCACCCTAACACCAGAACTACTGACCTGGGGCCATAAAATTCACAATTTGGAAAGAGGCACTTTTGCACAGCATTGTTAAGGCTGGAAAAGGGAGGCGGGGCCTAAATTAGCATAAAACCCAGGAGCAAAGGAAAAGATTTTTAAAGAATTAATGTATTTTTACTATATTATCAATAGAGATCCGTCCTAACACCAGAACCCCTGACCGTGGGGCCATCAAATTCACAGTTTTGGAGGAGACACTCTTGCTCATCATAACTATGTACTTAGTTAGTTTATTTAATACCCAGAAACAGAGAAGAAGATTTTCAAAGAATAATGCATTTTCACTATATAATCCATACAGCCCCCTCCCTAACACTAGACCCATGACCCTGGGGCCATAAAGTTCACAATTTCAAAAGAGGCACTCTTGCTCATCATAACTATTACTTAGTTTATTTAATACCCAGGAGCAGAGAAGGAGATTTTCAAAGAATTAATGCATTTTCACTATATGATTAATAGAACCCATGCCCTAACACCAGAACCCCTGATCCTGGGGCCATAAAATTCACAATTTTGGAAGAGACACTTTTGCCCATCATAACTATGTACTTAGTTAGTTTATTAAATACCCAGGAGCAGAGAAGATGATTTTCAAAGAATTAATGCATTTTTACTATATGATCAATAGAGCCCCCACCCTAACACACCAGAACCCCTGACCCTGGGCCATAAAATTCACAATTTTGGAAGAGGCACTCTTGCTCATCATAACTATTACTTAGTTTATTTAATACCCAGGAGCAGAAAAGATGATTTTCAAAGAATTAATGCATTTTTACTATATGATCAATAGAGCCCCCGCCCTTACACCAGAATCCCTGACCCTGGGGCCATAAATTTCACAATTTTGCAAGAGTCACTCTTGCTCATCATAACTATGTACTTAGTTTATTTAATACCCAGGAGCAGAGAAGATGATTTTCAAAGAATTAATGCATTTTCACTATATGATCAATAGAGCCCCGCCCTTACACCAGAACCCCTGATCCTGGGGCCATAGAATTCACAATTTTGGAAAAAAGCACTCTTGCTCATCATTACTAAGTAATTAGTTAGTTTATTTAATACCCAGGAGCAAAGAAGGAGATTTTCAAAGAATTAATGCATTTTCACTATATGATCAATAGAGCCCCCGCTCTAACACCAGAACTCCTGACCCTGGGGCCATAAAAATTCACAATTTTGGAAGAGGCACTCTTTCTAATCATATCTATGTACTTAGTTAGTTTATTTAATACCCTGCAGCAGAGAAGAAGATTTTCAGAGAATTAATTCATTTCCACTATATAATCTATGTAGCCCCGCCCTAGCACTAGAAACCCTGACCCTGGGGCCATGAATTTCACAATTTTGGTAGAGGACTTAATGCTCATTACATTCATGCCAACAGTTTGCCTGCTTGATGTCCAGGAGTAAAGAAGAAGATTTTTAAATATGGCAATAATTTTAGTGGTTTTGGCCCCTACCCTCAGGCCCCTGGAGGGCGGGGACCAAAAAATTCACAATTTTTGTTCCCCTTCACCCATAGATGCTCTACACCAAATTTGGTTAAAATTGGATCAGTGGTTTCTGAGAAGAAGCTGAAAATGTTCTTGAAAATGTTAATACACGACACCCGACGCACGACGACGGAAAACGGATAGCAATAGGTCACCTGAGTTACTCAGGTGACCTAAAAACGCAGGCTTCTCACTCAGCTTTTGTGTCCCTTGGATTCTATATATGTTCCGTGGATCAATCATTGTGAAATGAATCTATTATATATATAGCATTGAAAGGTGAATTTCGGAAATTTATCAGCGGAGCAAAGGGTGCGTCTTCAATAATGAATCTGAGACTTTCAATTTACTGTGGATTATTTGTAACATTTTCAACTGGATTTAACCCTACTAATTTCCTACATTGTTTATATTAAATTGTTTGATTTGTCATTGCCTTTTTAAGTGCTGTTTATTTATTTACCTCGCCCTTTGTTCTCATTTGAATGTTACCTGTAGCTGTCCAATAAGTTGAACCTTATTGGACACCTACATGTAACTTATTGGACGGGGTGCAGGACAATAACAAATTTACTGAACCAGTTTTAACAAAAGATGACGTCACAAAAATGTTTTAAGAAAATATATAGACTTAGAGAACAAAAAAAAAAAATTCTAAATTTTGTCAGTAATATTTATATGTTTATTTATTGGTCAGATCCAGATTTTGTAGTCAGGATAATTAAGAAGAATTTAAAATGCAAATATTAGCCATTTTTTCTTTTGAAAGATCAATAAAATAATATTGATTTGGAGTGTTTAATTTAATTTTTTAAGGATTTGATCGTATTCGCCCGCTCGTGAGATATAATTCAACATACAGATAGTTGGATCCTTATCATATGATTTTTCTTCTTGTTGGGCAACAAAGCTTCATTAATCAGTTCATGGATCTTCTAAGTCGTTGTCCTCACGTGGTCGTTAAGGCCCTTGTGTATCTTGTTTACTGCAGTTACCCTTATTAGTGTCGCAATATAACACCTTGTATACCTTCTACATATGGAGTGTATGCCTCTCAGATCAGTGATTTTTTTTACAATATATGCTCCTGTATATAAGTCATAACAATTTTCAAAACGAGACAAGCCATTGAAAAATAAGTTGATGAAACAAAGAAATGAAAAAAAAGCGTTGTCACCAAACACAACTCAATTCAATTGTTGACTAATGTATTTAATAGTTTTAATACTATTTGTTTAAAGTCTTTAGAACTTACTATTTACATGTAGTTGTTAAGTCTCTAGAGTGAAATAACTATGTTTAGAGTGTTCAGAGAATAAGAAGGTGACCCTTAATATTCAACACCTTTAAAACGTCAGTGTTTGCTTTGCGCCCGATTTATATCCTTTTAATTGACTTTTGATCGTTTAAAGGGCTGGGTGGCTGTGGCCATTTGCAGACTATATTGATCTCCTTTAGAAGAAGAGCTCAATATAAATATGTACCAAAATGATCAAACTTTAAAACCAAACTGTATAACATATTTCTTTGCCAAATGATAGTTGACAGCTTAAGATATGATAAAAAATAAATTATACATGTATCTGATGGTTATTTTGTTGACTCCCAGCCTTCGTAATACTGTTCCTCGTCCCCATATTTCATTGACACATTAAGAGAAAAAAAATCTGTGCCAATACCTTTTCATATACACTTTGACTTTTGCCCTTTGTCATTAATTTTGTAATTTGACCTACTTTTTAAACAGTTTAATTGGTAATAATTTTTGAATGCGCTAGGCGATTGGATATGCATGTAATATTCATGTGCACTATGAAGTTGAGTAGTACACCTATTAAAGAGAACGATTTGAAGAGGAAAATTTCAATTTATTATTTTTTGTCACTACTTTAATGAAAAAATCCTATGCATGTACAACAGGTTGCAAAATCATAATAATATGTTTTTAAAGGTTAGATTGTGCAACATTTTGCCTAAGATGTGCAGTACTCTATATTCGAGTCCCCCTTTTCTAACATCCATTTTGTTTAATGCGTTTCATGCAATTTACTTCTTTCGTCATTTACTTTTAATTAATAAATGACATATTTCACTTTAACATGGTGTAATTTGTTTTGCCTGCTTTTAACTAAGACAAGCTCAGCCATTTGGCAAGATAACCGAAGAACAAAATTTAGTATTTAGGTATTTTAGTAAATTCAATTTGAATTCTATTTTAGTAAATTCAATGTAGATAAATAGGCATATATATAATGACCCAAACTGATCTTGTTATTGCTATATGTACATTCACAATAAATCCTTTCAACTATTATAGGCGTAAAATTTTAACCCTCGACAACTTAAAAACAATAATTTGAAAATTTGTGTATTTTTATTAGTTCCATATGGTGCACTTACTAAGGTCAATTTTACAAAGTTGTTTTTACTCAATAAAGAGGAAATCTTTGAGGTTTGACAATTCAATTTTTTCCCCAGATCTACTTTGAAAATATTGTCCTGCAATGTTACTATAAAAACAAAGTATTTTGAATCAAAATATTACAGGATTTGCACGTTTTAGTAAAACATTAGGACATTGAATACCTGGTGCCCATAAATACTGTCAAAACATCTCTCATTAAAAACTTACAATATACAGTGAAACCTGTATAATCCGACATGCACTGGGATACAAATTCTGTGTCGGATTAGACAGTGTGTCGGAATGCATAGTGTTAAAAACAAGGAAAATAATAAAATGGGAAAGAAATTTAACGTCGGCATTCACAATGTGTCGGATTATTCAGCTGGTGTCGGATTACTACATATAGTATACAGTTTTCACTGTATAATGATATAAAAGTGAGTAATATTGTATTCTTAGCGTCTCTATTATATTACATCTGTTACAATTTTCCGGAAATTTTGAATCTAATGTCGAAATGTTGCGAACCGTCAGTTTCAGAAAATGATCAGAGAACACGTTTCGTTGATACATTCTTTGATGTTTCTCTATGCCCCTTCTGTAATTGTTTCCGTGAGCAATATTTTCGATCACAGTCTATTAGAATTATAGTTAAACAGATAATAGAAATCACTGCTGCCCCCGTGTATCCTAGGTACTGTGACGTGGCTCTGTTATCTTCTGCACACCTCAGTGTTGACTTGTAAGCTATAGCAATTAAAAAAAGAAAGTGATTACAAAGCCGTAACTAAGCTGAAATATTTAGTGAGGCAAGAGTGCTGGGCATTCCTAGTCTCAGACGGGGCAAGGGTAGTACTTGATGGCCAGTGATGCAGTTTTCCAGTTGAGGGGGGGGGTCCTGAAACCTAGACATTATAAAATAAAAGATTTAATCTTATAAAAAATTTACGTTTTGAGTTGTCGCCTGCATGACACAGTAATCAGAGCGTATACTCTAGCATTGCGGACTTATGAGTTGATCCTTACATCGCGGGTTCGAATCCCACTGCGGGATGTAGAAACGGTCCTATCGATGAGACAGTAAAAACCCAGGTCCTATGTCAAAGTAAGTGATGGCACAAAAAGATCTCTCACTGTTCAACCATCTTCAGTGACCTTAAACGAGGAGCCCTCCACCAGCAAGTAGTGGTGTCTCATTATGAATGAGAAATTCTTAGAAGGGACGTTAAACAATCAAACAATTTAGAAAACGAACCTTTTGAATTACTGTATATTTTACATGCGTTCTACATGAAAATGAGGCACCTGTGAGATGAACAATTTACAGAAATTGAAACAATAGTTTAAAATATTAATACAGAAAGAAGACACATGTTCAATGTTAAACTTTTTTTCACTTTTCAAAAAACTATAAAAATTTAGTGAGGCATTTGCCTCACTTGCCTCAGTGGTAGTTACGGCCTTAGATTATGTTATGGGATCAAAAATACATTTGTGTACATTTAAAAATCTGCTTCTTCTTTTTTTAATTCTTTCATAACTTTTTGTTTCCTCATAATGGTATATTGTATTCTTTATATAAGACAATTAAATCAATAACTGATTTATATCCAACAGGCTTCAGCATGCACCTAGAGCGTTCACTCTAGAGTGACAGGGTAAGAAGAAGATCCTTAATATTCAAAACAATTATTCTATATCTGCAGTTAATCTCCTTTCATTTTTTTCGCTCATATATGCCACCTTTACTTTTACATTATTAGTTACATAGTCTTTTAGTGACAGGGTATGGGATGATACCTGGTTAGTAAATTTCATACCTGGCGAGGCGAAGCCGAGTCAGGTATGAAATTTACTAACCAGGTATCATCCCATACCCTGTCACTAAAAGACTATGTAACGAATTTACCCCACCGATGTAACATTTACGTTTTATCTGAAGTTTATAAATGGTTTTCTCTGCTTAATCCTTCATCAGGCTTATACTGTGCCTATTATGACGTCACGTTTGTGTTTGTGACGTAATACATCGACCGGGTATAGATTACAACTGACCGGGTATGGATTTACAACTGACCGGGTATAAGTAATCCACAGCCTTCACGTGACAGACTTCAACCAATCGTAAGCCAGGATTTCACGGAAAAATCAACAGAGGTGGGGTAATAAGAAATACCGGTTGTGTTTTTAGGATCCACAGCGAGGTCCAACTTGATTGTCTCTACAGACGTAAAGTTGAAGACCCCGGAAGTATTTGTGTGTTTGGTTGTTTGCCCACACAGCGGAAGTACAGATGTTGTCGTGGGTTCAGGTGGTGTTGTAACTGTTGTCGTATCTGTTGTGGTTACTGTTGTTATCTCTGTTGTGACAACTGAGCTTTCTGTTAATGCAGCCACAGGAATTCCTGAAAAAATATCATGCTGAAAACAGGCATTTAAAATCCATTCATTCGTTGGTTTCTACAAGCCAATTAAGGCCGAAACAAAAATGATTAATTTAGATTTTAGTAAATTAAGAATTAAAACGTTTAGAACTTGAAAATTGCTCATTTAATGTAGGCTTTAACCCATTTCTGAAAAAGACTAGTCCTTATAAAAAAAAAAACAAAGTTCGGTTTGTCTATACCTCTTCAATATTGAGAGGGTATAGTTTTACAAGGACATGAATAACCAAATTGTGACATTATAGTACATGTATACAGAGAAACAAATAATAGCATTATACTGATAACTGTATATCGAAATTTTACGCAAAGCTGTTCCAATCAATGACCTGTTACACTTCGAAAACAGAGAGCCCCTCGGACATTAGTCGAGTCTTGTCGACAGTTGACGTAACCCGTTGTCAGTGTGTCCTTACTAAGGCGCATACACTTCTCCGGAGTCGTACTTCCTATTGAGGATGACAGGAAGTTGGGTTCATTGTTCCAGTTCCGCTCCTCACCCCGAATTGTGTTCGACCCCATCCACACCCCTGTGTTTGTGACACTGGCGGATCTAAAGAAAACTTAAACTGAACCTGGCTTGATTTGATTTTCTTTTCTTTTATCTATTTTACTTTTCTCATTTAATTAACAAATTGTTAATGGATGAGTGGAAAAAATTGACATGTTTGTTTTGACACGGTTGTCAGTCAGTCTGCAATCATTTTTAATTTTGTCTTATCGTCCATATTATCATTAAGTTAAGAAAATAGTCATACTATTTAATCTAGGTTAAGGTCATTGAGGAATAGAATGTTTATATCTTGTTTGTGTCAATCTTACATTCAAACCTACTCATGCTGGGGTCATGTATAGAATGTCATGACTCGAGGTGTTATATCAAAGTCAAGTTCACTTAGCCACATAATATTGAAATATTATGCCACCAATTTGAACTTTCAATTTAATTAGTATTTCGTTTTTTATGTGCTGATGTCATAGATATATATATTTGATATTGTTACTTAGGCAGGTCGTCTCTTCAGGGAGATATATAAAAGAAGTAATGCCCATGAATTAAGGTCAGACCATACGTTCCTCAGATATCTGTTTTGTAATATATGAAAACAAATATTTTAAATTTTAATCATGTGATTTCCAAACTGGTTTCCAATATTCATTAAAAAATTTACAACGCTAAAATTTTGACAATTTCAATGTTTATCCACATGGATTATATAATCAAAAGCATCCTCTGGTATCTTGCACGAAAGACTGGTAAGGTACCTCAATTTTTTGGTGAGTTAACTTGTAAAAGTATCATTACTTCTACATGTATGACAAAATCTTTGAAAAAATTATATATTATTTAAGAACGTATCGTCTATCCTTAAATAAGGAGTTATACGACCTTTTTCAGAACATAATATTGAATTATTTTTTCTTTAACAACCACTTACTAGATTTATACATACCCAAAAATAGAGGTCAGCGTTTGTTTGATAAAGGTCATTTGTTCTTGGTCTATGGCAGGGGCCAGACTACCACCCTCCAGGGTACACTGATAGAAGGCGTCCATGGCGCTCCATCGCGATGTGGATCGAGGCTTCGTAGTTAGCCAGTAACAGTGATTTCTGTTTATGTGGTCTTCAATGGAAGCCCAGTGAAAGCAAAATTCTAGAAAATTAGAAGCAAAAGGTGAGAAGTGAATAATGGAACAATGGTGAATATAAATTTTTTTTTTTGAAAAATATCAAATTTTGCATAATTTTTTGGACAAAATTCAATTCGAAGAATGTTAATCATTTTATACTTAAATGGTAGCCATTTTTCAAATACAATTTGTTTATTTTATTTGAAAAACAGGAACAGTTTAGAAGAAAATCACACAATTATTTTTCTTTATCTTAGATGCATGATATTTTGTTTACACTACTTGGTAGCTATATTGTACAACACTTGAATCTCTCAAGGTGTAAACTTTTGCATCACTACAGCTCTAGAGATGAATATCAACTGCATAAATCATTTGTGCAATTTGAGATAAATACCTCTTGCGTCCATGTAGCAGAGCATGGCCTTCGTCTTGTAGTCTGAAAAGCAGGATTTGTCTTGTGTTTTGTCTGGTTTGAAGTAACTATGTGGCTCCTGGTCAATAACAATGCAATTTTGATCATTTCCTCCATTTGGTTGGTTATTGTTTGTATCGAATGTGTCTGTGAACGAACTATCAATAACTGTGCCATCTAGTTGTGTCCAAACATTTTCTTTCCCAATATCGATAACTCCTAGAAAAGTATCTGGTCTGTAATAAAGTATTTGAAATTATTTTTATATATGAATCAAATATTAAGTTCATTATCTGATAAAGGACAAGACTACTGCACTTCAAGAGGTTGGCTTCTGATATTTAAAGTCTTAAACTTTCTTGTCAAGTATATTTTTACATTTTATATACATAGCCTAATAAAATGATCAAATCAAAATATGGAGGTCAATATGCTTCTTTTGGCTTTGTAGTACATTTAATATGACCTGTGTGCACTGAAATTTCTGTTTTGATAAAAATTACATCTTCAATGTTTTCCCTCAAATATTTTTATCAAATAAAGCATTGAAATAAATAAATTATAAGTCTATTTTAGAAAAAAGACACTTTAAAATTGTGACTAAGAAAAAGTTTCAACTTGCTTCGCATAATCAGGGATTTGACCTTTCTGCACTCACAAAATGTAATTTTCTATAGAAAGCTAGCTAGCATTATAAATTGATAAATTTCTTCTAAAAAACCTTCCGCCAAAAATTATAGTTCCTGGCTTAATCCTACTTAAATGGAATTTAATTGCGGATTTTACAATTGCTTTTTTTTTATTTTTTCACAGTCACTTTTCCAGGAGCCATTAGTGCACCTGTTATTTTATTGTTTAACCATTAATACGGTTCGACAAATTTTATCAAAAGATCGAAAAGAAACGCTGTTGAAACTACATTGATTTTCTTTGTTCTTTGTGAAAATCAAATATGGCTTAAAAGCTTTATTTGAATTAGTAATTAGCTGAAAGAGTACACGTATACACCTATATATAAGGGCATATAAATACAGTGTCACGTGACGTGACAATTTAACATTTTGATTACCGGCTACTCTGTACATTGTTTACATATAAACAATGTCTCTTCGATTTGAATTTCGAATATTATGTAATTCAGACTTTTTCTGGTGGATTTAAAAGAAGCATTTTCCCTATTTACTTTTTTTTTTATTTATTAGAATTTACAAGTTACTTAAACACAGAGGCTTTAAAAAGCCTTGTTCAAATGGTGTTATTTAAAAATGTAAATATATTTATCAATTCTAGCAAAATAAGCAGATTTTTTTATACATTGAAATATCAATAAAACATACGTTCTTGTAGGACGCATATTTTCAATCATCGTATACTGCATACTATCTACGAAAGGAGCCAATCTCCCGCCATTTGTTGCACAATGGTCGTCTGCTTCGAAAAAGGAAATCTTATTGGATAATTCTTCGTACCAGTAGCAGTGCGATCTGTACTTGTCATCAACAGATGATGTCCAATTTAGACAGGTTATTGAACTCGAGGTGCGTATATGCAAAGCTGTAAATTTAAATAAAGTTCAAATAAATATTTAAAAATCCAAGATTAATAAAATTAAATAAAAAAATAAAATAAAAAAACACTCAAATAATAATTATTATAGATAAAGGATATAAAATTTTATTCCTATTGTTATTACTGCTATCCCGATTAAAGGATGGTCTTTGCAAAAGGTCTAAAAACTGATAACATTATTGTTTTAAAAGTTTGTCATGTTCTTTTCATATTTTTCATCATATATTTAAAGCTTTTAAGGAAACTAAATTAAAGTGAATAAAAGCAAGTACAAATCTTATCAATAGTTATATGTTTTAATTAAAGATAGCTCAGTGCTTAAATTATATTTAGAGTAAAACCCCATTACTTATATGTAGGTTAATGAAAACGACATATGATCTTTAACAGACAATACAATGTCATGTGTACTTAGTTAGGTTAAACTGCGGTGATACAAATGATTGTAAACATTCAATATCTGTTTCAAATTAAATATACTTTATCAATATTTATATCATACTTTCAACAAATGAGCTCTGAATCAACTGGATGTTCGACCCTGATAATTTCCTTTTTTATTAAAAGTGCACGTATCGACTGCAAAAACATGTTTTTTTTGAAAATTACAAATCTTTATTGCTTATTTCATTTCTCAACCAATCACAGCCAATCACAGTAAACTTCTTGGAGACAAATAAATGTAACATGTGAATTGGGCATTTGATTTCATTCTATACGTACATGTATACATTTTATGACAAATTATGAAAACCCTGTGACCCTTTTTACAAAAACTCTCAAGATAAAAATTAAACAATGCTGTAAATTTTGTTTCATAGGGATATTCATATATTAATGATAATAATAATAAATTATAATTTTAATGTTATTTACAATGCAGGCACGTAGCACCAAAATATACAAACTTTTTTGCGAACATTACTTTTACTATTGAAAATGTTCTGCCCCCCCACCCTTTTACTACAGTAAAGTGATATGTAGTCTGGGAAATGTAGTATGGGGAAAATTGATACTGAAACAAGCTGGCATTGAGAAAGGTTCCCCCCCCCCCGTCCTGCGAGGAATAGGATTTTCGAGTTTGGGAATTTCCTTTTATTTTGCTTGTTAACTTTTAAAGGTAAGTGAAAAAAATCTCTCTGGCTTCCCCCCCCCCCCACTTTCAAAAACGACGTTACGTTACGTCACTGCAATGTTCTTCAAATAATGGAAAAGTAAGACTGGTGCTTCTGTGAAAGAAAAAGTAAAACCGTAAAATATCTTAAAGAATTTGTCATGGGACCAAACAGTCAGAAGTAGACCCCAGATACCTGACGTTGTGAGGATGTGATAGTTTGGGAAGGGATGCTTATTCTTTCATGGTACCTGATCCCTTTTTCAATGATTTAGATATCTGTGTTTGTTTTGCTCCTGATTTGTTTGTGTGTTTTAATTATATAATTTATTGCATTTTCAAAAACTTTTTTTTACAAAAAAGGAAACAAACATTCTGCTCCTGATTTTTATTGTTAGTTGTTGAGCTTGAATACTGTTAGTTATCTCCAAATATTTCATTTACACGTTTCGAATCTTGTTAGACTACATGTTTACATAGCACATTATTTTACCCAAAGCAATACAGCTACATCTAAATGTAGTGACGAATATTTATAGGTTACTGTAAAATCACATATTTTTGTGGTGTCAAATTTTCGTGGTTTGAGTAAAAAAATTTGCTTCTTGGGGATTTGAATTCGTTGATGCAGAATTGTTTGATTAGTTACATGTATGTATGTTTCATTTTACCATTCGTGGTGGACATGAATTCGTGGGTCTCTTCATACCTCAAAAACAACGAATATTACCCCCTCCCCACTAAAATTTGTGATTTAACAGTATTTAATTTGCAATTTTCGTGCAGTTTTTTTGCCCAAATGTAAAATGTATCAATTTCGTCCATCTTTGTTTTTGTATGTTTCAAAGATTTTTCTGTCTAGAATGTAAAGCCTTCCACTAGAACTCATTTCTAAGGTCCTGTGTCGCGTTAGGTACTGTCACGAAATCACTGCTCAATGTGCCTGAGCAAAGGACAAAATTTGCAGCTCTCTACCTGCAAGTGGTGGCGTCTCTATTTGAGAGAAAATTCCCCAGAGAAGCATCAAACAAAATGTAAAGAAACAACTGAAGTCTTTTCAATTTTTACCAAAAAAAAAAAAAAAGAAAAAAAAAAGAAAAAAAAAAGAAACAATTGCAAGTCTTGTAATAATCTGCATGATCATACTGAAAATCGATTGAAAATCGAAGAGAAAAAAATGAAAATTGTGTGAAAAGCTGGTCTATTTAACCTAAAATACCTGCAAAAAATTAAGCAACAAAACTGTAGTATATTGCATCTTTTCTTTCCTTTCTTTATTCACATGAAAACGAATTTAACAACAAAGAATGAATAAAATGTACGATGCAGTTAGTTTTCATAAAGAATAATATACGAACAATTGAAATATCATAGACTTTAAAGTTCATGGAGCAATAAGCACTTACCTTTCAAAACATAGAAAAATATCACGAAATATATGTCCATTCTTCAAAGAAAATTGTTATACTTAATTTCCATAAGGTATATACTACTTTTAACATAAAAAAGTTCAATCAGGAAAAATTGTGTGACTAATTTGAAAGGAAGAGCAATTTTTTTAGGAAACATTATTGTGATATCAGGTTAATCAATCTATAGAATTAAATAAGTTCTGTTCATAAAGTTTTCGATTGTTTTCATTGATTTTTATAATGGACAACAGACAAAATATTTAACCAGAAGCTCCTAAATCAATAAAAAGCTTGTTTCATTGTTATGTCCATTTTCAAATAAGTGATAATTTAATTGGTGTTAATGACATTACTTGATGTCACAATTGCTAAGTTTTCTGGTCAGATCTTTACTTATCTCATTTTTCAGTTCAAGATATATTCTTTTTTAATTTATAATTTTTTCCTTGTCATTTGCCCAAACTGTTGTTTTCGTGGTCCATGTCTGTTCTGCTTCCAATGTAGTAGGATGTTGTTTCTATGGGCTGTTTAGTTTGATTGATATTCTTTATCTTCCTATTTCGTTGTTGAATATGTTGTTGTACAGTGCACCTGAACATAATACCTTGTTTATCATTTGCTGGAATTGGCAATATTTCATTGTAAAAAAGAAGAGATTTTTATGAATTTTATGAATTTATAAAATTCAGTAATGAAGAAGTATGTCTAATTTACCATGGCTGAATGGTATATTTTACGATATATAGATTAAATACAATTAGGGATGTCAATTTTATTCGGACAGCTTAGTCGAACAGTCGGATGCTTTAGTCGAACGATAGTCGAATATTCGTTTAATTTAAATTATTTTTTAATCAGTTTCACGGTTTTTTTTACAGACCAGATTACAATATTTAACCTACGCCATGACCATTATACAACGCATTTCTGAATTGTTAACCTGCACGTAGTACAATAAAACGTCGTACAATAAAAACTGTACATCAATATGTATCCTATGTATTTAATTTCAAAATTAATATATTAGCTGCAAATTTTTTCTAAATGCTGGATATCAAATGCTCGTATTTTTCCTTTCTTTATATAACGGTAATACATGTACCCCATAATTAAAGCCATTTCTACGCGTCTGTCAATGATCTTTGACAGGTAAACAATTAAAGCATGTCTCTTATAAAAATAAAGAGAGGGCGATAGCTTGGGATAAACTTTAATTATGAAATCTTGTGCAACCAATCAATGATTGTATGAAATTAATACAAGAAAAATAAAACACGGTTTAATTTCTACATGTATCATAACTGACCCCAATTTACATGTTTCAATTTTGTAATAGCTGATTAATATTCTTTCTGAATTCTGAATCACGTCAGATCTTAGTTTGAATCTGCAAAACTAAACAATTGCCCTCTCCTTTTAAACAGTACGAGGTAGACAATCATTAATAAACATGTTTAATTTTTCTTTCCCATTCTCCCTTTTTGGGGTATTTTTGAGGATAACTTACTTTAGGACAGTTTCCCTTGAAGACTATGTGTATGTATGATATTACACTACAGAACACAAGTTCCGTTTCACTAGATTTTGATAACACTGTCTTTTTTTTTTTTTCTAGACAAAAACTGCAGATTTTGAAAACATGTTGTTCAAACATACATCGACGAACAAATAATTTCCTTTGAACAGTTATATCATACCCTTAGTTTTACATACGAAAATATTGATCTGTAAATAATTGAAATGGGCAAATCTAAGTTGATTGCCTTGAATTCAAAATTACTTTGATGAAACACATTTTTAACGAATAATCGACTAAAGAAATTTTAGTGGATAGTCGTTAGTATCGTACAATAGTCGAGTACTCGAATATTCGTTGACATCCCTAAATACAATTTTAAAAATTTCATCCTTCGTATATCACAATATTTTTTCAAAATAAAAATAAAGGATATATATACAGGTGTGAAACACATGCAAAAGCTTAAGGGGGGAAGTAAAGGTTTTCAATTCTTAATCATACCCATTGACGGTAGAGCTGGGAATTCATCTTGAAATATAAAGGGGAAAATTTGAAAAATAATCTCAAGAACCATTAGGCTAGAAAAAATAAACCTGACTTAGAAGCTTTAGCTTTGATTCTAAATTGTTCAAATTATGGCCAAGGAGGCTAGGTGGGGATAGGGAATCAATGTTTTGTGTTGCAGTAGATAGTAAAAAAAATCTTGGTGGCAGTTAAAAAACGCTTCGTTCAAAGAACCAGTGGGAAAGAAAAGATGAATTTGACGTAAAACTATAAGAGGTAGTTAAATTAATACATGTTAATTGAATACTGAGCCCTAGAGGTAAGATGAACAATAAATTGAC